GAATGCTTTCCTCAGTCCAACAGCTAAAATGGCACTCTCATTTGACTTCTTTAAAAGCTTCAGATTCACTAGAGGTGCATCAGAGTACAAGTGAGGACTTAGGTTTGGTGAGACTGATGAAATGAGAAAGTATGAGAAGCAGCATTCGTAATCCAGCGCACGACACATCTGTTCTTCTGTCAACTCCTGGTTCAGGTCTCATCAAAACCACACATTTGTATGTATGCATGTATTTGTTTTACAAACTGGGAATTTTTATGATGTAAATTATTTTGTCAAAAAATTTCCTGACAAGATCAGTTTGACATCCTTATCTGTCAATATTACTCCACAATTCCAATTTAAAAGTAAGGGGCTCTGTAGCTACTGGTATATGTGAAGCTTTTGTGGGTTTGGGGTGAATTCACACTTCGTATTTGGATTATTCTGCACCTTTGAAGACTGAGCTTTGATCAAAGTGAATGATGGTCCTCCCCTGTGTGGATTCTCTAGGGTACAGTAATAGAGCTCAACATTTTTCCTCTCCCTTAGTCTGGAACTAACTTGATCTCTTTCTTTTCTATCCTTCTGCTCATTTTCACCTATTCAATACCACTGAAATCTTCTGTTCTGTGTCATATGTGATTAACATTAACTAACAGAACCAAAATATACTATGCAGGACCTAGAGAGAACGTGATGACACCATCTCAAAGAAACCTGTCTAAAAATAGAGCAAAAGCGAATGAATGCATGCTAAATGAATAAAAATGTGGCACCATGAGAGAATTCAGTCGGTGATTTGGAAATAAGAATTATCATCCGCTGTGGTTTTTTCTTAGTGATCAAGGAGGTTTTGATCAAAACAACCACCACCATCTTTTTCAGTGATGTGGAAGCAAAAATAAAATTCTTGCCAGTGAACTTTGCAGATGTCACAAAACCCATGCAATGATAATTGATGAGGAGGACAGGTTTAGCTCTCCAGAAGAGCGTGAATCACATGCTAGACTGTGCCCACATTATGGATGAGAATGGATGACACATTTATCAGTGGTGTTTGTATTTTAGGAAACAGTGACTTGGAAGCAGATTTAAGCTGAACATGAGCTCAAAATGTGATAAAGTACTGAAGAAAACAGTGACAACCTTATATCTAAAAGGAGGGAACTACTGAGCAGAAGATATGGTGTTACCACATGATGGTTTATTAGTGAAAGTTTGTATTCAGTTCATCTGTCAGCACATTAGCAACAACACTAAAATGATAGGAAAGGTCCAGAAAGGAATGATGAAGAGTATTAGAAACCTGAAAAATCTTCCTAATCCTGAGAGTAAAGAAGTTCAATCTATTTAAGCTTTTGCAGCATAAATATATTGCAAAACAGCAAGCTAGTGCAATGTTTTGCAGAACATTATGTTTGCTGTGCTGGCTGCCTTCAAGTATATTCTTTACCTTGTGGCCAACACAAGGTTGTTTTACCCTCAAGGAAAAGCGGGCTAGCTGGTTTACATTCACCATGGTTAAAAGTGAGCACAAGAACCACTGTTGTAGAGTAGTTAATGTAACTTCTTGTTGCCTGACAGTGACTTGCCCTACAGTGCTGCATCCTCAGCGAATTCAAAAGTACGTTACGAGATGACATGGTCAGGACACAAAAATACAAACATCAGAAGCTGTCTTCTCTTTGTGGTCCCTTTAAACTAAGACAGTCGAGCAGCTGGAAGCTGAAGCTGCATTCATTGAGACTGGAAATGGAAACCTAGTTTTCTGGAGATGTTAGAAGTAGCAGTTACATTCTTGAGGCTAAAATTTCAAATGTTTCTAAAGGAGCTCATAGAAGTTTTATCTTTGATGTGGGAATCCCTTAAGAATATCTTGGATCTGATTTGTCCAAGCAGTCACATTATGCAGATAATGATATTTCCTTTTAAAAATCAATATATTTGTAAGATTATGAGGCTGCTTCTCCCTCCTTGAGATGTGATCCATACAGCCACCATACTGCCAGGAATATAAGCGGTAAGAAAGTCTGGACTGAAAATCAGTGTATGGATTATAGCCCTACTAACGTCAAATGATGCTTTATAAGTTATTTCTTTATAAAAGAACCCTTATCATTATGATTTAATGATAAAGAAAGGAAAGACACAGCGAGCTGCAAGTAAGAATAAAATTAGGAAAGGCATGCTGAAGACTGAGCTCTTACTCTTCTGTATCAGCATCATAGCATCATATTAATTGATTGCATGAGCATTTGGCTGAAATGTAAGCTTGTAAACACCTTGCCATCACTGAAGATATGTATAGAAGGTTTCCCAAAATATATGTTTGTAAGATATAGACAATGCCCATTTGGGCTTGGATTTTTTTGTGAATTATAGATGAATATATATTTCTTCATGTCAATAACCTGCTTTGCCTCTGCTTAACAGGACTTTGCACTCACCATTTCCTGTTCCTTAACAGCTTTTTCTCTTGGTTTAGACAGTAAAAAAGGAGGAGATCATCCCTCTATTTACTTACAGCTTAAATCCTGCCCCAAATCCCTGTAGCACTTGCGGTGCTACAAGAGCCCACAGTAATGATACTTCATGTCATTTTAATCCACACAGGTGTTGAGCTTTGGTGGCTGAAGAGAGGTAAAATGTTTAATTTCACTGAGGAGTCTTAAGAAACTATATCCTATCCTATTAGCCTCAGCCTTTCTTCTTTGAAGGTTAAAATTATATTTTCAGAAAGAAGATATCTTGCACACAGCATCACTTTGGATTTTGCCCACAGACACATATACATGGATGTATATTAAAGGACTTGCAGAAAATTTGAGCTAAAACCTGACAGGAATCAATGTTCTCTCAAAATCTCAGTCCCGGAGCCTTAGACAGCAGCACTCTCAGCTTTCCCGGAGCAGGACCTGATGTACAAGGTTAATCACAAGGATTCATTTTGTTGAGGGATCAGAAACCCAAAGCTGGCTCTGTATAATACCTAAATCCCTTAATGCAACCAGCAGAGCCACAGTGCTTCTGTCCTCTAAAGCTGATACTTCTATTTATTCACGATACCTGTTCATTCATCTTTCTTTCCAGGACAATTGCTGAGGGAAGGGTTTTGTGGTTGGAAGAAAGGCAAGCTCACAGTTCAGAAAGACAGGAGATAAACTACTGGCCCCTTTGTAGTCAATGGGACTTTTATCACTATCTTCAGATCTGGATTTCACCAAATACTTTTGTATATGCAAAGTTACATTTCTGTAACTTTTTTGGTACATTTATTCACCAGATCTGTATACGCAAAGGAAAATTAGAGACATTTCTGAACTCTGTTTTCATATGGAGATTAAAGGTTTTCCCACAAAGCAACTAACATAAAAAATTGCAGGGATATGTGTATTGTTCTCTAATAATTTCTATCACATAAATTCAAAGTTCCAATCTATTGACTCCTAAGGATGAGACACTTTCATGGACATCTTTGGACAGTGCCAAGACAAAATCGTACCTGGAACTCATCAGAACTCAGAACCTGAACCTAAATTTTGTCCTTTGGTCTGTTTTTTGTCAAAATCAACAGATCACATGGCAATCCTATAGCTGATTACATTTCTCCATCCCACTGTGAAGGCAGGGAAAATGGAATGGAATGACTTCTGACGAAAAGGACAATGTGAACATGATATTCCTGGACTAGCCCCTTTTCTCTGTATCACTTCAAATAGGTAGTGAAAGCTGACTAATCACATTAACATTTAAGGACATCATTTTATAATAATGGCTGGGAGATATCTTTGTTCATGCTATCCTGTAAAGAAATGACCTGAACAGAAAATACACTTTTCATGAATCTCCCAGTTATCAGACTAACAAGAATACAATAACCAGAGAGTGTAGAAATTACAATGCAGAATATGGAAATCTCATAGCACAGGCTGTAATTCTTGAAATGGTTAAAACAAAAAATATGATCCGTTGAGAAGTCTGGAGACAGAATAAATATGGTCAGTTCCTTCTGCACCAGAAGAGCTACAAGAACCTCCATATGTTTTGAGACATTTGCTTTCTGTCAACCTGTTTGGCTGGTCTATGACAATACTGAAGCAATTATATAATAGGTATTCATGTATTTGTAGTAGAAAGACGCTATATGGCTAAAAACTGGAAATATTTATGGAAAAAAAAAAATTAGCTACTTATCTGACACACTGATATCAGCCAACCATATTCTGGGCTGCAACAAAAGAAGTGTGGCCAGGAGGTCAAAGGAGGCGATTGTGCCCCTCTACTCTGCTGTCATGAGACCCCACCTGGAGTACTGCGTCCAGCTCTGGGGCTCCCAACATGAGAAGGACATGGACTTGCTGGAGCAAGTCCAGAGGAGGGCCATGAGGATGATCAGAGGACTGGAGCACCTCTGCTATGAGGGTAGGCTGAGAGAGTTGGGGTTGTTCATCCTGGAGAAGACAAGGCTCTGGGGAGACCTAATAGCAGCCTTCCAGTACCTAAAGGGTACAGGAAAGCGATCCTACACTTTTCTGTATCAGGGAGTGGAGTGAAAGGACAAGGGAGAATGGTTTTAAACTGAAAGAGGGGAGATTTAGGTTAGATCTCAGGAAGAAATTCTTTCCTGTGAGGGTGGTGAGACACTGGAACAGGTTGCCCAGAGAAGCTGTGGCTGCCCCATCCCTGGAGGGGTTCAAGGCCAGGCTGGATGGGGCTTGGAGCAACCTGGTCTGGTGGGAGGTGTCCCTGCCCATATCATCTAGAAATAGATAATCTTTAAGGTCCTGTGCAACCCAAACCATTCTTTGATTCTATGATTCCATATACCTGTATCTCTCAATGGCATTATGTCTGAAGAACGAGGAGGCCAAATCAAATGAAAGTTTTAGTGAAATGGACTCATGGTTACAAAATATTTTACTGAAAATGGCCTTGCTGCTTCAAGTATGGGCACACACATTCCATTACAAGTTGAGTGTGAGTGTATGTAAAAATATAAGTACACTATCTACATTTACCTACTCTGATCCCAGTTGGCTGCAAAAAGCAGAAGAATCTTCCTGCCACAGTGGTCACGATTTTCCAGTACTCCCGGGAACCCATCTGTCAGAGCTCGTTTGATTCCTGGATCATCAGCCTTGAAGTTTTTAAACATATCCAGATTTAATTGACGGTACTGGAAGTACTGAGCCAGCAGTCTGAAGGCCTCAGTTTGGTGAAACTTTCTGGCTCGGAGAAATCTCAAGATGAAGGCATCATCTGTACGTAAAAACCCAATGTCAGGCCTCGTGATGATCATGTCCCTGACTTGCTGGATATCCTGATGCAAAATGTCTGGGTTTTCATTCAGTTCCAGGCGGGCTTTCTCTATAGTCTCTGGACTAAGTCCAGCTTGTAAATGGGTCATCTCTGCAAAAAACTCTTTTCCAAATTCTTAGCTTCAGATGTTTCAGTAGCAGAAGTGCTGATCCCATTCAATTGATGTGAGCATGAGCCATTCAGAAGCTTTTTCTATCAAGCTGATATTTAACAAACGAAAGCAGAGGGCTTTTCTTATTCTTGCCGAAAGAGTAACAGGCAGTTCACATGCAGTATAATCCATCCAAAGGAAAGTGTTGTTTATTCCATAACTTACTAAAAGAAAAAGCAAATATATAAAAGAAAGATTAAATGCATATATAAAGCTTACGGGAATGCTTTTCTGAACTTTATATACCAATAAAATTGCTTTGTGTGCTTCATGTGTAAGAGGATACCAGTGAAATAATTTCAGAATGGGTGCCTTTAAGATAAGGCAGTCACTGACATCTTGAATGTATATATTCAAGCTTTCAGAAAAGCAATTTTATTAACTGACAATTAATACTAAGCTATATCAGTGTATTATAAGAATATACTTTGCAAAGTTGTCTTACGGAAGTGTGGGAGTTCCAGCACCCTATAACTTCAAGCCTAGGGTGATAAAAGCAAAAATAATAGTCATTTCTTTCCATTCTAACAGGAGCTATATTTCAGCTTCCTAAGTATGCAGATTTACACTTCCCATATTAAGTATAACAACTGTCGATTTGCTTTTATCACCCTTACTATCAGCTTGTAGCTTTGCTTGAATTAGCCTCCTAGCAGATAGTAAAACAGATTTAAAAAACCCACCAAACTCTACCAACATCAGGGGTATTTTCTACTTGGTAAAATCTCACTGAAAATATTTCCCATTGAGACTTAATACATCTTCACGGGAAACTTCCCACGAATAAAGTGTTTGATGAATCTGATCCGACAGGGTTGGTGTTTTAGCTGAAAAGAGATGTATTTTATTCCAAATTCTTTTTTCAGTATCTTTCCTGAATACCTAGCTCTGAATTTCATTTTCATTCCTGTACTTTACCTAGAATTTGTTTTTACAAGTCTTAGAAGAAAAGCTGCTTAAGCTGTTATGTATGAGCAAAACGGTGCAGTGAGTCTCTTACATCTCAGTGACATAATTAGCAAGAGGCTGTCATCGAAGCCTGTGTAGTTACACTTGTGTGAAATAAGATCAAGGTCTGTTCCACTGTGAAATGTGTGTGAGGAAAGATCAAGATCCACCCAATTTTTCAGCTATCACAAAACCAGACAAGCAAACAAAAAAACCCACTGCTAAACTGATCTCTCTCTCTTTCTAATTTCTGGAAAAAAAAAAAGAAAAATTGGTTTTAAAAATTAAAAGAGAATCCCTCAGTGAAAGAGAGATACTTTATTGTATTTGGAGAAAGCAGTTTGGAAAGTTATGAATTATTTATGGCAAAACAACCATTTCACTCAGCTGCTCCCCTGGGTTCAACGTTCTCATATCAAACAAAGGGGAGAGCAGCAGCCAGAGCATTTCTACGTCCAAGGACTGCTCAAAGTTACATTGCAGGACCTGGAAGTCAATCAACACAAGGGATGCCCGAGTTCCCTGTTTTGTGAGCTTGCATGTCATTGATAAAAAATACATTTTAGATGCCACAGCTGCAGCCCCGGGATGAGACCCCTAAATTTGAATAAAGACAGTTTCTGCATATTTGCTTAAAGGACATTTGTGGCAGGAGATAAGCTTTTGATTCAACAGCAATGTGCATTCGACCGGTCTGTGGGTGATACAGAGGAGAGTTTGTTCAGCAAACTCTTTCAGTATTCACTGCAGAGCTGGAGTTACAAAGAGCTACCTGCAGGGCAGCCTAACTGGTGATTCATCAGCCTGGGAAAAACTTGGGAAAAGGCAGAGCTGGGAGGAAAGAAGGTCGGCTGCCTTTGACAAGTCACTATGGAGTGCAAATGACTTCAGAAAAACAAGCCCTGAAGTTTTGAGGGGGGTAATCTACGGGTGCAAGTTATTCAATGCTTAAAGAAATGAGAGTTGTATTACAGGTGGATTGCGCACATAAAGTAACAGTTATTTGCTTTCCTCTCACCTCTGTTAGACCAAATTAGGAGAACTCTGATGGTATCAACTGGATTCCACTGATGTAAAATTAATGTGGGCCATGGGAAAATCAGGCCAATATTTTGTGCTCAAGATCTCAAGTTAATGTTAGCATTGGCATTTTCTTGCGTAAATTATGTTTTTATTTACAATTGCCTCCATGAGCTAGTTAGGGGAACTCAGTGTATTTAAGTGTGACATCCCCACTGGGGGATGTAGGGTGAGGATTAGTTCTTCTAGTTTTAACAGAAAGTCGTAAGGAGGCTGGTTGGTTTTGAGGGTGGTCGGCAGAGAGGTGGAATAAGGAGTTTATCTGAGGTGTGCATCACATCTGGTTCAGGGCTCAGATACGAATTCAAACACCTTTCAAGCTTCTGTGACTTAGAATTACAGAATCATAGAATCACAGAATGGTTTGGGTTGGAAGGGACCTTAAAGATCATCTAGTCCCACCCCCCTGCAATGAGTAGGGACACCTTTTACTGGGTCAGGTTGCTCAGAACCCCATCCAGCCTGACCTTGAATACTTCCAGTGTTGAGGTATCCACCACTTCTCTGGGCAACCTGTTCCAGTGTCTCATCACCCTCAGACTAAAGAATCCAACCATTAGCCCATGTCCTGTCACCACAGACCCTGGTAAAAACTCTCTCTCTTTCTTTCTAATAAGCCCCCTTTAAGTATTGAAAGGCTGCAATAAGATCTCCTTGAAGCCTTCTCCAGGCTGAACAACACCAACTCTCCCAGCCTTTCTTCTTAGGAGAGGTGCTTCAGCCATCTGACCATTTTGTGGCCCTCCTCTCTGGACCCACTCTAACATTTCCAAGGATTTGTGGCAGTTAACTGTGACACACACACCCCTTCCCAGTGGGTTCATCCATTTTCTGAGAGCTTGTGGAGGTATCACTGTCCCTTCCTCTGCTCCTTATAGAGTCATAGAATCATGAAATCACTTAGGTTCAAAAAGATCTTTAAGATCATCAAGTCCAACTGTCAACCTAACACTGCTGAGTCCACTACTAAGCCATACCCCTAAGCACCACATCTACCCATCTTTTAAATACTGCAGCAGCAGTCTACACCAATTTACTGCAGATTCAATGAGAGCTGCTAAAGAATGTGCAGAATGTGATACCATAGAATCATAGAATCATAGATTCATAGATTCATAGACCTGGATTGGAAGGGGCCTTTCAGATCATCTAGTCCAAACATCAACCTAACACTGACAAAAACCATCACTGAACCGTGCCGCTAAGCATCACGTCTACCCATCTTTTAAATATCTCCAGAGATGACAATTCTACCCAGGCAGCCTGTCCAAATGCTTGACAAATCTTTTGGTAATGATGTTTTTCCTAATACCTATCCTAAACCTCCCCTGGCGCAACTTGAGGCCATTTCCTCTTGTCCTATTGCCTGTGACTTGGGAGAAGAGACCAACCCCTGCCTCTCTACACCCTCCTTTCAGGGAGTTGTAGAGAGCAATAAGGTCTCCCCTCAGCCTCCTTTTCTCCAGGCTAAACCACCACAGTTCCCTCAGCCACGCCTCATAGACTTGTTCTCCAGGTCCCTCACCAGCTTCATTGCCCTTCTTTGGTCCCACTCCAGCACCTCAATGTCCTTCTTGTAGTGAAGGGCCCAAACCTGAACACAGTATTTTAGGTGGGGGCCTCACCAGTGCCAAGTACTAGGTGACAATCGCTTCCCTAGTGCTGCTGGCCACACTGCTCTGACTCCCATTTCCACTAAGATGCTTCTTTGGAAATAAGGTAAATTTCTTAAAGATCAACTGCAGTCTACTCCAGAAGAAAATAAGGTTACACCAAGGAGAGAAAGTCTGACTGTTAAGATTTTCTTATAGGATCCCCAAGCATTTATTGTCAAAAAATATATTACTTATTATCATTAACGTTTCCTACTCTTTTTACCTTATTACCTTACCCTTCGTGTCTAGATTGATCCCAAGGTGAGAAAGACACAGTCCTCTCCCCTGTCAGATATTGTTGCCATAAAGAAACTTACAAATGCCAAGTCTGATACAAGATACATTTTTAAATGCATTTCAGAGTTTTCTAATGGTGACCTGAGCTATATCCATGGATTACAGCTTACAGGAGAGCCTCTATAGATTATCCTGATTATCACTTGGAACAGAATTTGCACTAAAATATTTATTGGCATGAAGTTATATATTGCAAAATAATCCAAAATATATAGGAACAATGTTGTTGCTATCTGAATCATAACACAAATCACGGGGTTAGTAATCCACTCCAGCACCATTGACTTCAAGGAGTCTGATTTATATCAGTGGATGATTTGGTTCTCCCACTGCTTACCTTAACAATAAATTTAATGCTCCATAGCTACCTAGTTTAATTGTCATTGTGCTTTCTCAAATGGTACTGATTTATTCTGATTCCCAAAGGTATAACAGAAGCACTTTCTCCGTTTTCACCCCTCCCACACATGGCAATTTCTCCTTCTCTTCTGGTGCTCTGTACAGCTCTGATCCATCTGCCAGTTTCTCAGACGTTTACATCTTTATTCTACTTTTTTTTTTTTTTTTTTTTTTTTTTTTTTTTTTTTTTTTTTTTCCAAATGAAGATGGAGGCCTTTTTTTCCTTATCTTGAAGATTGTCACTGTGTGTTGGCACACTAGACTCTTTGTTATAGTCTCAACAGCTGTTTTTCTGTGTTGTGACTCTTTGTTCCCAAAGGACTGTTTGCTCTCCTAATGTCTTTTCACAGCCACTTACGATAAATCATCCCTCCAAAGGAACAAAACCCAGCTTTAAACAAGGAAAAATAATTAACAGAGATTTGAAACACAACATATTAATATGGAAAAAAAGGGAAATTTCCACCAAAATTGTGGTGTCACATGCCATTTCAACTTATTCATTTTCATTCCCAAAAAAGAATGACAATGGACAGAAAGTGGCTTTAGGATGGGTAAAATACCAAAAATTGA